GGGTGCGTGGGGGCTGCGGGGGGGGGCGGGGGGGGGGGGCATGCACATGGGGAAGAAGGGGAAACTGCCTAACTCTGAGCTGCCTTGTTGGTTCTGGGATTTTGACAGTGGGGAGGAGTAGCAGTATTAATTGCCACTGCTCCTTTGTTATCAAATTTCCTGACCCTTGTGGAGCCCTGCAGGCCAGATTCCCAGACTCTGCAAACTGCATTTGGGCGAAAGGCCAGAGGTAGAACACTGCTGGACTAGATTATACATGTATTTCTTCAGGAGCAGCTAAAGATCTTTAAATGCACACCATACTTTAACTCAAGTTAACTTTTGAGCACTGAAAAACTTTAAGGACTTGCATCTTTAAAGAAACTTTATTCCTTTCCATATACCATATTTACCCAGATCTAAGACAACCCTCCAATAACTAGATTCTAGACATGCAAAACTATGAATTTGTTTTAATTTTCCATGTCTAGAAACTAGTTATTGGGGGATCATCTTAAGTTCATCCCCATGTAGCAGTGCCACAAGGAAAGCAGTGGCAGGGAGAGTAGCAGCAGGCAGTCTGCTTCACAACCCCTGTTGTCCCAAGCCTCCCCCCCACAATTTGTCATCCTCTGGTGTTTCCCCCCCTGCCCCAACCTTTGCAGCTGCTCTGGCCATCTCCACTAAGAGTATGGAGCACCCAGCCAGGCCAGGCAGTAATGGCAGCTCTGTCTCCAGTCTCCAGCCCCAGGGCAGGGTTAGGGCCAGAGGCACAGCACCTCCCCCTGCCACTCTGCATGCCCCTTCCCTGCACTACCCAATGCTCTGCGCATCCCCTTTCTATACTCCATGCATCCCTTTCCTACTGCCCTTTCGCCATGATCTTTTGAGCCTTTCATATACGTTACAAAACGGGTCAAGAAAGCTGGGTACAGTATTTTCAGTAGCTACTATAAAACGTCACAGCCCCTAGTCCTGTTAAAAACCAACCCCCACCACTAACCTCACAAATCTATTGAACTTCTCTCGCAGACCTGGACAGACACATACAGTTAAGGCCTAGGAGTATTGTTAATTAACAGTTTAAGTCCAATCTCTCCACACAATTACTCTAGAAAAATGCTGTCCGTTCACTATTCCTTTAGCTGTTAATTATTTTTAAGGCATCTCTAAAGACAAATGGATGTTTTAATGGATTAATATCTTTTACTGAACCAACTACTTGTCGGGAGAGATATTAGATAAGCTTTTGAGCACTTTGTGGAAAAGCATTACATAGTTCTTGGACCATCACAGGCACAGCAACACACTAACAGATTTGAAAGCCTAATGAATGATCATGCTTGTATTTAATCCTTTTCCTCATCAGAAAAAACGTTGCCAAAAAAAATATCAGTAAGCTGTAGCAGACTGTCTGTATAGAAATCAGCTCTTTCTAGTTTCAGAAGTTCTCATGTTAAATCAGTGGGCTCAAATGGGATTCTGCAAAACCCTTTCAGAGGTGCCATGGCACAGGTGCTGGGCCATGAAGTGTAGGGGGAAACTGTCCTCAATGCCTCATGCACAGAGAGATAAATTCAAAGCAGGCTGAAATGGTCAATCCTGTTACACCACTTCCTGGTCTGACCCTGTCCTTCCCACCTCAGCAATGTCCAAAACTCCTGGAAACAGAAGTGTACAAGGCACATGGAACTGTCCCGTGTGCCTCTGTTTCTGGGAGAAGCATGGGTGATGAGGGGAGGTTAGAAAGCAATGGCTGCAACAAGAGCATGCACTCCTGCCTGTCCTGACTGTACATAGGTAGACACATGGGGCAGTTCCATCTGCTGGTGGCAATGGTGATATCAGTGTGGTCAATAACCACCAAGTTAAGCCAAGGCAGCACAACATTGATTCTGAAACAGATCTTCAGTCAAATTAACAAGTTCTAAAAGGGTGTCCTCAATCTAAAATGGTTGAGAACCACCATGTTAGACATTAGCAATGAACAACTGACTCATCCAATCAATACACAAGGTTAGGGGATCACAACTAATATTAAGACAGGTTAGCTGTTAAGAAAACATAGTAAGAGCTATGCTTGCACCTTGAGACAGGATATTAAAAATTGACTTTTTAACTGGATTTTTTTTTCTGGCCCATGAGGAAGCAACAAGTCTATGAGGAAGCCATCAAATTTGATTCAATTATTATAGCAAGCAGCTTATTTTATTTATTCTTCTATTTACATTTAAAGATTTTACTAGTTCTCTCTCAACTAAAAACTTGCCATTTCTAAATTTATATCATCCTCAAAAGTTTTCCTCATGACATACATTCAGATGTATTCAAACTTATTCATAAAAAAATTCCACCAAATGTAAACACCTGGGAAGTAGGGACCTACTCAAATCGCAATAAACGGCAGTTTCTGCAAACATTGTGAAAAATGGCAGTTTTTGTAATTTTGCCTGGAATCACTGTGGGGAGGGAAATCTTACTGAAAAATAAAATGCTGGCTCCCTAATGGGAGCCAGTGCAGCCCAGCCTCACAGCCTGCCAGGGATGGCTGGGAGCCACTGGCACAAAGGACAGCAGCCAAGATGGTGGCCGCACCCCTTCCCTCCACCACTGATAGGCCCAAAGGGCTGCCTTTCATGTGGCCCTGCCCCTCTACCAATTAGCAGCAAGGGATAGGGTCATATGAAAGGCAACCCTCTCTGCCAATCAGCAGTGAAGGGAGGGGCCCCTCAGCCACTTACTGGTGGGCAGGAGGCGGCTTGCTGTAAAACAAAACAAAAACAAAACAAAACAAAACAAAAAACAAAACTACAAAAATGGTGCTGGGTGCTGCAAGCAGCCCACAATTTTTTCTTCGCCTCAGCGTGATTTAAGTAGATGTCTACTGGGAAGTTAAACTAGATTTTAAACTGCACTCAAAACAGGACTTTGCAGGTCAGGCTACTTTAAAAGCACATTTCACAATTAGTGTTAAATTACAATTGTACTTGCTGCATTATTTTGTGTTTTAACAATCCTTGGGGGGAGGGGGGGGAACCAAACAAAACCAGAATCCTAGCACAAAGATTAGTGCACTCTTGAATTGTTCTGAAGATTCAATTTTTCAACAAGATCATGAAAAAATTAAATTGATTACACAAGCATTTCAAAGAATCATAGAAAAATAGGGCTGGAAGTGACTTCACAAAATCATCTCATCCAACTGCCTCCTCAAGGCAGGAACATCCCTGTCTAAACCATCTCAGACAAATGTTTGTCTAACTTCAACTTAAAACAAACAACCCCCCGCCCCCCCCACAAAAAAAACCTAAACTTGAAGCTGTCTCAGTGCTTAAATCACTCCTAGTGAGAATCCTTTGTAATATCTAACTTGCAACAAGGAAGATTTAAGTTAGGGACATTACTTCCAGTCCCATCTTCTGTCAAAAGATCGTTCATTAGCAACCTTTTTTGTATTTGATGGTTTAATCAAGTCTCCCCTCATTCCTGTTTTGTCTTCTCCGAGTGAAATAAATCCAATTCTTCCACCTTTTAAAAATTTAAAAAATTAAGTTACTTACACTACATGCACAAATTTTAGAACCAAAGTCTGTATGCACAATGATAAAAAGCATATTACATTACCTTCTTATGCTTTACTCCACGATAATGCGACTGCAGGCTTATAGAACTCATGCATGGAACTTTACAAATCTAAAAAGATAAATTTCAAACAAAGTTTTCAATTATGTTACAGCCAACAGTACTATAAGAACACTGTTGCGTGAGCACTGCAAGAATATAAATCACATTTTCTCACGTGTCCCCAAAATATAAACACATGCCTATTTTTGGAAGGCCCCAAGAAAGTAACTGAGACCTGAGATCTCTTGCAGGCCTCAGCACACTGAGTCCAAACCAGTATGTGGCTGTGGGCCATGTGCTGGGTTGGACCCAGAGACCCAGCCATGGAGCAAACCAGTGTGCTGGCCCAATCTGGCACATAGTTGGGGAGGGGAGCTCCCTATGGGTCCAGAGATTTGGCCACGTGGGTGGGGGAGGGAAGACAACCAGTGGCAGTGCTAATTGCTGTGGCAACCAGAGCCACAGAAATTAATACTGCTACCACTTTACTACCACCTTCACCACCAAATTCCCAAACCTGTGAGAAGCATTTTTTCTTGCATAATGCGCTCCCTTAATTTTCCCTTGCTGGTTTTGGGGGGAGGGGAGGAAGGCAATGTGGGTTATATGCGAGACAATATAGTATCTACTGATTAAAGGATGAGTATAGGATGCCATTCATGGATCCTATACCGAGTATAGGATGTGTGAAATTAAGCGAAACATCCCAAGATGACAAAAAGCATTACATGAGGAAGTTGTAAACAAGCCTGCTCAGACATCTGGGAAGTAAAGTTTAAAAAAAATTGAAGTTTTTATGTGAACTATGTTTTTAGTAACAGTTTTTTGAGCTCTGCCTCTCAGTTTCCAGATTCTTATATTTGCAGTCTTCCCTACAGATTATTAGTGGTCTGTAGAAGCAGCTGGTCACACCATGCAAAGAGGAGCTGTAACCAAAAGGTTTGCTAATCCACTGCATTACTTATGTGCAAAAGGCTCAGAATACAAACAGTTCAAGACGACTGTTTTACTGCACCAAGGGCAGCACAAAACAAACTGTAGTCTTTGAGATAAACTGTTTTTGATAATAAACAAAAAATATGGACAATAGAACAGCTCATTTGTAGCACACATGTACCCAATGTTTGTGAGTTCGGATTGTTTGGGTGGGGATACATCCGTGTCCTTCCTGTGGAAAATATCTATATTTTAAAGTACATAAATCAGTTCTCAGAAACTTGGAACAGATGGTACTTCTCTTGTTCCTAAGGACTGAAGCTAGGTTTTTCTGAATCACTCAACTGAATTTAAATGTAAGTTCCAAGTAGGTAAATTACCAAAGTGCCTTTTTAAAATTTGGTCCTTACTATACTTATCTGGATGCTTTATGATGGGGGTGTCAAACATACGGCTGAAAGGGCACATCTGGCCCCTGGTGCAAGCCCTGGGTTGACCGGTATGGACAATCCAGGCCAGATCTGGCTCACAAAAC